AAAAACACTTGATATTGGTAATGCAATACACTGAAAGACACGAACTTACTGAGAAAAAGAATTGAATGAGGAGAATCTTAAAGAATATCCTGCACGATGTTTATATATGCTAGGAACGAGGTTGAGATATGCCTAAGATGATGTTGTGAGTTGTCAGACACAATATTAAGGTAATAAGACGATGTTGAAGGGTATCATGTAAAAATGCAAACACTATTACAAGTCTTCCATTAACTAATCAATTATTAACTATGTAATTCTTCATAAAAACACCTGATGTTGGTAATGCAATACACTGAAAGACTGAACTTACTGAAAAAAGGAATTGAGGGAGGAGGATCTTAAAGAATGTTCTGCACGATGTTTATATGTGCTAGAAACGAGGTTGAGATATGCCTAAGATGATGTTGAGAGTTGTCAGAAACAACAGTAAGGTATTAACACGATGTTGAAGTGTGTCATACAAGAATGCAAACTAATGAATTATTAACAATATACTGAAAGGCTGAACCTACTGAAAAAAGGAATTAAAGGAGAAGGATCTTAAAGAATGTGCTGCACGATGTTTATATGTGGTAGAAACGAGGTTGAGATATGCCTAATATGATGTTGAGACTTGTCAAATACAATATTAAGGTAATAACACGATGTTGAAGGGTGTCATGCAAAAATGCAAACACTATTACAAGTCTTCCATTAACTAATCAATGATTAACTATATAATTCTTCATAAAAACACCTGATATGGGTAATGCACTGCACTGAAAGACTGAAGTTACTGAAAAAAGGAATTGAAGGAGGAGGATCTTAAAAAATGTACTGCACGATGTTTATATGTGCTAGGAACGAGGTTGAGATATGCCTAAGATGATGTTGAGACTTCTCAGACGCAACATTAAGGTAATAACACGATGTTGAAGTGTATCATGCAAAAATGCTAATACCATTACAAGTCTTCCATTAACTAATCAATAATTAACTATAGAATTCTTCATAAAAACACCTGATGTTGGTAATGCAATACACTAAAAGACACGAACTTACTGAAAAAAGGAATTGAAGCAGGAGGATCTTAAGGAATGTCCTGCACGATGTTTATATGTGCTAGGAACGAAGTTGCGATATCCCTAAGACGATGTTGAGACTTGTCAGACGGAATATTAAGGTAATAACACGATGTTGAAGTGTGTCATGCAAAAATGCTAATATCATTACAAGTCTTCCCTTAATTAATCAATTATTAACTATGTAATTCTTCATAAAAACACCTGATATCGGTAATGCACTGCACTGAAAGACACGAACTTACTGAAAAAAAAGGAAATGAAGGAGGAGGATCTTAAAGAATGTCCTGCACGATGTTTATATGTGTTAGAAACGAGGTTGAGGTATGCCTAAGATAATGTTGAGAGTTGTCAGAAACAATAGTAAGGTATTAACACGATGTTGAAGTGTGTTATACAAAAATGCAAACACTATTACAAGTCTTCTATTAACTAATCAATAATTAACTACGTAATTCTTCATAAAATCACCTGATGTTGGTAATGCAATACACTGAAAGACACGAACTTACTGAAAAAAAGAATTGAATGCGGAAAATCTTAAAGAATGTCCTGCACGATGTTTATATGTGCTAGGAACGAGGTTGAGATATGCCTAAGATGATGTTGAGACTTGTCAAACACAATATTAAGGTAATAACACGATGTTGAAGAGTGTCATGCAAAAATGCAAACACTATTACAAATCTTCCATTAACTAATCAATTATTAACTATATAATTCTTCATAAAAACACCTGATATCGGTAATGCACTGCACTGAAAGACACAAACTTACTGAAAAAAGGAATTGAAGGAGGAGGATCTTAAAAAATGTCCTGCACGATGTTTATATGTGCTAGGAACGAGGTTGAGATATGCCTAAGATGATGTTGAGACTTGTCAGACACAATATTAAGGTAATAACACGATGTTGAAGGGTGTCATGCAAAAATGCAAACACTATTACAAGTCTTCCATTAACTAATCAATTATTAACTATATAATTCTTCATAAAAACACCTGATATCGGTAATGCACTTCACTGAAAGACACGAACTTACTGAAAAAAGGAATTGAAGGAAGAGGATCTTAAAAAATGTCCTGCACGATGTTTATATGTGATAGGAACGACGTTGAGATATCCCTAAGATGATGTTAAGACTTGTCAGACACAATATTAAGGTAATAACACGATGTTGAAGTGTGTCATGCAAAAATGTTAACACCATTACAAGTCTTCCATTAACTAGTCAATAATTAACCATGTAATTCTTAAAAAAAGTAAATCAGGATTAAATTATATTTTCAACATTATGTCAGAATTAGAAAATGTCGAAAAGAGCCTTTGAAGTGAACCGAATTCCAGGATGAACAATATTCAATTATATTGAGAGTAGATGGTAGGTCTGAAAAACTCATCTATTACATACAATCAATCACTTTGTATAATCTGTTATTAGTGAATAGGTCATTTATAATACCGATGATGCAGTATTCCCATCTTTGTTTTGGAACGGGAGCGATAATGTTCATTAAGTATATCCCATATCTTTGACGTTGCTTATAATGTTTGTAAGTGTAGACTTAAGAAGCATTGAGGTAGGTTTTTCCTACTAATTCATACCATTCAATTCCATACAGCCATAACGTCATTCATAACCTTGTTACAGCACGGCTTTATAGAAAATTTTTTGAATTACTATAAATATTGAGATATTGAGACTTGGACTGGTTCTTATTTCATTGGACAAGTTTGCTTAATGAACCAGTTAGGTTCATCCTAGCAATCAGAAAAAGCATATCTATGTTTTCATGGATGCTGCAGAAAATCATGATCGAATCAACATTGTCTTTGATAAGTCCACAAAAATCTTAGTCTTATATTCTTCGAAACTGCAAGATTGCAAATTTCATGGAAAACTAGAGAAGTGCAAATAATCCTAAAATGGGGGAAAAATTTATCACAACCTGAGAATATAAAACCTATTCACCAAGTCTACTGCTCTGGTTATTGAAAATAATCGAATTCTGGGAACGTAGAGGAGACATTGAAGTATAACAAGATAAGAATCTCCCTAGCACATTGGAACTTATTCAGAAAAAGAAACAGCGACCATTACAGTACTATTAAATGTCAAAATACTTGTGCTTCAAAAAAGGGTAATCAGCTACAGTAATCAGTTAGAAAGAGAATGTAGGAAAACACAATTCTAGGAATTAACGTTCGTAACCATGTCTTATTTACGACGAAGCTATGAAGGATACCAGAACCCATATTGGTACTCAAATCAATTTGGAAATTTAGTTGGATAATAAGAGAAGTCATTTTGAAAGTATTAAAGACTTTTTAAAATTGCCGTAAAAGAGATTAGAACGACCATACTAAATCCATAAAAGCATCAGAAATAAAGCAACTTGGTGTACCAAGCAATTCTATTGTGAATATGGAAAGAATTGGGTGGAACTACTACAAAAAGAAGGCGAGGAAAAAATACCGAAGTATCAATTTGGGTTGAAGGAACCATCTCATTCGCACATTAGAATTAATCCAGAAAGACAACAGCAGACTATTACGCTGCTAGATATCTGGCAAGATTACTTTCTGGAAAAGATGATCGAAGCCAACCTGGAGGAACAATTTGATAAGAACTATGGATTTCTGTTTAAAAACCAAAGATTTGTATGGGATTAACTTAATTATCTCTTCTGCTGTATAATATATACTTAAATAATTTCTGGGCGATGAGGTTAAAAACTAAGGCGTAATTGTCTAAATTAGCAAATGATACGGAAATATTGGCGAAATTGAAGGATGTATATGCCAAAACTTGGCATATGTAATATTGCAAAATGATTTGTTTGGCATATATAGGATGGCATATATAAAATATTATGATACATGACTGAATAGAGTGGTATACAGTTTGGGAATTAATGTAATAAAAAGTTAAAATAAGATATTTGCTTTTTATATCAACATTTAGACACTTTTAATTACCTTTTTGTAACTAAATAAGCAAATCGATGAGGACTCATACCAATACAGAAATTATCTGCTAATGAGGAATTTAGCCAAATGCTTAACCAATGATACTAAAATGTCATGTCCTGAATTGTGGGTCACCGTATTGTTGTTGAGTCATGAACATCTATGAATTACGAACTCTTCAAAATTAATGTTACATAATGTATTATTTCTGGAAATAATGTGCAAGTCCAGATAGGATTTCCATGTTAATTAGATTCATTAATGACATCATTATCTAAATTTTTGGTTATTACGTTTTAAGTGGATTACGTTTTTATGCAAGAAAAATTTTAAGATATAACACGTTCATCGAAAAGAGGAAAATGTGTTCTATTAGAATATTAAAAGAAACATTTACGTTCCTTTTAGGATAATAAACTTAGTTACCATAGTAACGAAATCTAACATAATACAAACAAAACAATTTTTGTAGATTTTGCAAATTTTTGTTACACCTTGTATATATTTGTTAAAATACATTAAATAGCGATCAACATTGATCATAGAAAAATGTAATTTGATTGTATCAAAAAAAGTACATCAATATACCATAAAACAAAAAAAAAAGCAAGTAAAATAAAAGAGAAAAAGCAATTGAGTTCGACACAGGCGACTCGATGCGACCAATTACGAGCTCTCCGCATCCGAACGTTCATCATTTGTCACCCCCACTGTCCTCCTCACTCTCTCTTCGCTCCGCGACGTTTTTTTTTTTAAACAAAAAAGAAAAAACAAAACAACGAAGAAATAAAGAGCATTGAGTTGAAAAGAGAAAGAAAATAACCGTGTACTGTGATAACGCGATGAGAGGCGCAAGGTTCCCCCACCATATGGCTCGTGCCGGTCGACCAATCAAAAATCGCATCAACGCACCGCGGGTAGATGAAGCCTCCTTGGATCTTAGGGAGTCACTCGTTGTCACACAGTCTTTCGAACGTTACGCTCATGGCACGAGTTGATTTTCTGTTCTTAAGTTGGTTTTAAAGAAATTTTAATTTGAAGTATTTTTTTGTTTTAATACAAACAGAAAAAAGGACGTGATTTATTTTTTTTTAAGTTTTTGTGCGAATTTTAATTGTGACAATTTCTTCCCCATCACCTTTTTTTTTTGGTGCGTGATCAAAAAGAAAATTGACTTAAGTGAATTGCAAAAAAAAATCAGTTGAGAAGATATTTTGAAGTTTTTGTTGTGGTTTGTAATGGATTTGAGATATCTCCATCAACAATTACGGTAAGCGGTTTTTCAACGTTCAAAATTGAATATTTTTTCAATTGTTTTCTGGTAAAGTCAATTAAGCAAAGTGCAGATGCATGTTAACCTTGCCAATAAAAACCACGAAAAAAATCCTAGATAATTTCTCAATTATATTCGTGGAATAACATGTTCAAGGTTTCTTAAAAAAAAAGCGATTAAGGGTGCTTTGCTTAAGGATATCTTTAATTATTTGTCAAAAATATTTGTGTATGTTGTATTAAAGAGATGTTTTTTTTAAATTTTTTTTTGGACCAATTTATATATCAATTTCAACCCCCTTACATAGTGGGTGTGTCCAAACCTATCTCATGAGAGCAGTTAGGTCAAGATGGCCGCCTGCACCTGTATTGATCTCGCGTCTCTGTACCTGTCGTTGCCATGGTAACACATGATACAAAGATATCGTTGAAATAAAACAAAATCAAAACAAAAAATGCAAAAGTTAAAATTTTTGCTTAAATATGGCTAAATCAGAAAGAATGTTATGTCGACAAATTAAGTTGCAAAAAATTTTGAAACCACATTCACCTTTTGACATTTAAAAGTAAATTGATGTTCCAAGAATTGTATTTACAAGGAAATGATTCATTTATCCCTTTAGGTACTAAACGTTTTGATAACTCTTTTTCTTCCTTCCAAGAAAATTAATGTTCTTGGAAGTAAATGATTCATACAAGCCTAAAATCATACGAGATCTTATTGAGTGTGGCCTAAAAATCTTCTAGGAAATGATTTTACCCTCTTTAAAAGGTGGGGGAGAGGTCAGGTCGTTGCTGATAAAAAGGTGATTCCGTGCCGAGTAGTACCACCCTAGTTCATTGTACAAATTTGACTCATCTTCCAACAATGGAGATATCCCCTGCTTAGTTGAGTTGAGGAGAGAAACCACCTTTTCCAAATAGGGTGTTTATTACACGCTTAATCTATCCGACAATAGCCATAGATTAGCTTTTTCACCAACAACCCTTACCTGTATTTTCACCCCCTTTTTTTGATCAACTTTTCGATTTTTATTAAATAAACCAAATTACTTATTTCAAAAACTAATATTTATTTTATCTCGCGGATAATTACTAATAAAAAATCTATGGTTGAGTAATTATTACGTAGCAACAAGATTTTTTGATCTCGGCCAATTCTCGGAATGATAGAGTCGATACACTTGAATCTCTTAAACTTCATCAGATAGGATTAAAAAAAAACTATCTCTTATCATTTTTCGTCTATATCTCATCGTTCTCGATTTTGCTGTTTAATTAATACCCAACGTTTGTCTCAAATAACTAAAATCACCTTTGCACTTTACGTAAAATAGTGAGATGACGTGATTTGAGAGATTGAAATGCTTTGTTTCTGAAAACATTTATAGAAATTGATTAAAACTCATTAAGTAGATTTTTTTTATATAAAAATATTTTGTTTGTGAACTGATTTCTGTTATTAAAATCATCATCAACAAAATATTTCAAACTAACAAAATAACAAAGTATTTCTTGTATTCTTATATTTTTTTAAAATCTCGTTATCCAGTTATCCAGTAAAGAAGAGACGAGATAAAAAAATGAGAGAATTCTAGGTTGATTGCAAAAAACTGGATCAAATCTTCCACAAAAAAGAGAAAAAGGCAAGATAATTAAAATCCTAGATTTAAAATTAATCTTACCTTGCATTCAAGAATCTCAAAGTAGCAACATAGAAGACCAATCTTGATGTAGTACAATTAATCTTCAAAGATGTGGTCGAATTTTGAAAATTTTGGAACTTTGGCAAAACAGAGATCCTGACAAAATAGCCAGAAGAACTTATTGTTAGTGGTGAACTGCTTTATAACTTTGAAATAATCAGAACCTCCATTTATACAAGGGTGAATGCCAACATATATCCGGTGCCTCTGCAAAATAATATTGAAGTGTTGGTGCTTATCATTGCGTAATATTAATTATCTTTGTATTGGTGTAGGCCTCAGCCGCAAGCAGCCTCGGGTTCATAATCTTTGCTCATCGCTAAAGACCACTGTTTGTAACCACAAAAATTGCGATAACACCAAGAGTTATGTCGCAAACAGTTAGGCAGTCTAAGTTAATCATGTAATTCTTCTCTTACGCCAAGTTTGACCTCTTCTTCTAATTTGGGAATCCATTTAAATAATTTATTGCAGCGAAAATTTAAAGTTTTTGATTAAACTTTCTAATTGTATGGATTTCCATTCTCGATTTACCCATATGTTCAATGATAGTCTTTCCGAGTAGACATTTCTGCAGGGTGAGGTTGTAATATGTAATCGTTAATATATTAGGTAAATAATATCTAGTGGTCACATATCTATATGACACATAAATACTTGATGGTGTATCTTCGCCACTACTTGAGATGGCAGAAGATTAGATTCTAATTGCAGAAGACTTAATCACTGTATAAGAGACTAAATGCTACTAATTCAGGGCTAGGTACTATTAACTGCATTCTGTTTGCAGAAAGATATACAGGGTGTGTCAAATATCTCGAATATAACAAATAACTTCGCTATTTGTAGTTTTAAAGAGAAATGTTTCAAATAAAAAGTTCTTTATTAATTGTGGCGCATTTTTTCTCGATTTTTTTCTGTTATATGATTTCGGTTATTAAAATCATCATCAACAAAATATTTCAAACTAACAAAATTTATTTTGCACATCGAAGTATTTCTTGTATTCTTCAATCAATCGTGAAAGAATAGAAACAAAGAAGAGGCGAGATAAAAAAAAACAAGAGAATTCTAGGTTGATTGCAAAAAACTGGATCTGATTTTCCACAAAGAAGAGAAAAAGGCAAGATAATTAAAATCTTGGATTTAAAACTAATCTAACCTTGCATTCAAGAATCTCAGAGTAGCAACATAGAACCAATCTTGATGTAGCACAATTAATCTTCAATACTTCAAAGATTAATACACTTAGAATTTTGGGAGAAAGTTGCCACTGTCTTTATACATTAACTTTGGCAAAACAGAGATGATGAAAAAGTACCCAGAAGAGCTTAGTGGTGAATTGCTTTATAGCCTTAAAATAATCAGAACCTCCATTTAAACAAGGGTTATGCACACAATTCATAACGATCTTTGTGGAGTGTCATATATCCGGTGCAAAATAATATTGAAGTGTTGCTCCTTATCATTGCGTAATGTATTAATTAACTTTGTATCGGTGTAACATGACGCCTCAGTCACAAGCAGCCTCAGATTAATAATCTTTGCTCATCGCTAAAGACTGATAGTCTTTCCGAGTAGACATTTCTGCAGGATGAGGTTGTAATATGTAATATTTAATATATTAGGTAAATAATATCTAGTGGTGTAGTGTTCACATATCTATATAACACATAAATACTTGATGGTATATTTTCACCACTTCTTGAGATGGCAAAAGATTAGATTCTGATTGCAGAAGACTTAATCACTGTATAAGAGACTAAATGCATTCTGACTGCATTCTGTTTGCAGGAAGATATACAGGGTTTGTCAAATATCTAGAATATAGCCAATAACTTCGCTATTTGCACTTTTAAAGAAAAATGTTTCGATTTTTTTCTTATACAACTATAAGATTTAATATGTTCATCGCATAGAGGATTTAACCTCTATCAAAGTATGCAAAAAATTTGTGGATCTCATTTAAAATTACAATGTTGGTTGCCATAGCAACGAAACAAAAAACAATACAAACAAGCTAATATCACCAAAAAATGCGCCGCCATTAATAAAGTAACTTGTATTTGAAACATTTTTCTTTACAACAATAAATGGCGAAGTTATTGGCTATATTCCAGACATTTGACACACCCTGTATATTGTTGGTTGAAGACATGATACTGCTTATAGAAAATGCTACTTGCAAAAATGTAGATGCTGTTTGCAGTAGACTTAATACTGCTGATAGGAGACTAGAAACTGGTGATGAAACATATTTACAAATGGAATACTTCATAATATTAATAATAGATGTATACCTGTTGATGGAAGACTAAATATATTGTAAAGAAAACTAAATACTGTTGGCAGAAGATTTAATACTAATACCAGAGGGCTACATAATTAACTAGATCCGCTTGACCCGAACAGAAATGCAATAAAAGCCGTTTTTTGCGAAAGTATTTTTCTGGAAAGCCGTTTGTTGTTCCACCACTATTGTCTGCTTTGGCAATAATTATTTCCTCTTTTGATCTGAATTGTCCCATTTTCATTTTTCATTCAAATTTATATTTGCCTTCTTCTATAAAACACACAAATTAGTACCAATACGTTAAGCGCTAGGATGAGCAATACTGCGGTGATTAAAGTTTTTAAAATCCACTTTTTGACTTCCTCTTCTGCTCTTAATTCGTATCAATTTTTTTTTGTTGTCTGTTATTTGGCAGAATCGCCATGTGATGCCCGTTGTTCCTTTGGATCAGGTGAAATTAATTAAAGAATAATTCATTTACTTTTCTTTATTAATTTTCTTCTCACATGTCAACAACTACTCTACCTTTTCATACATTACCTCGTATTAATATTACATAATTGCAACGTGTACCAACTGTCAACCTACTTAGAATCGATTTACAATTACAGTACTGGTACTAGATACTTAATGACTAATGGAAAGCTTGATAATATTAATAATAGATTAGATACTTCTTGCAGAAGCTTAAATACTGCTGCCTGAAGATTTGATACTAGTACCAGAGGATTAGATACTGCTACTAGATACCTAATGACTAATGGAAGACTTGATAATGTTATCAATAAATTAGATAATGCTTTTAAAAGACTAGATATTGTTTATTAGTACCTATTGATGAAACACTAGATACATCTACAGAAGCTTAAATACTACTGATGGAAGATTTGATACTAGTACCAGAGAACTAGATACCTAATAACTAATAGAAGACTTCGTTATTAGTAGTAGATTAGCTACTATTTGCAAAGGACTAGATACTGTTGTGAAAAGACTAAT